ATAAATTATTATTCATGAATATTTAATTGATATTTTACAATTTCATTTTCATTTTATTTAATAAATGAAATATGAATAATAAATGAATGAATAATAATGTAATATATGAAATAATAAAAAGAAAAGAAAGATAAATAATAAAGAAATATGATGTATTTAATATATAATATAATTTATTATCAAATATAATAATAATATCAAATGATGATTTATTTTTATTTCAAAATATTTTGCATCAATAAAATATGTTGCTAAATATTTTGCATCATTAAATTTTGCATCATTAAATTTTGCACTTTTTTATTTGTTTCAATAAAATTTGCATCCTTTATTTTTTACTTCTTTTCTTCTTTTATCATCTCTTTTGTTTTATTACACTTTATCTTCTTTATTTTTATCTTCTCTCCTTTCTACTTTTATTCTTTCTTCATCTTCATCTACTTTTTACTTTCTTTTTATTCTTTTATATCATTCATTCTCTTCTTTTTCAATTATTTGCTTTTTTTCGTTGCCAATTGATATTATTACGATTGGAAATGTTAAGCAAATCATAAAAACATATTGATGATACAAAATAAAAATAATTACAACCACACTAAAACATAAACAACACAACCATAACCATGAGAAAAAGAGAAATGAATGAAAGTGTATCAAGATTTATTGACATTGTGATAATCAATGAATAAACAATTAAATGAATTAAAAAGAAGTTACTTTAAAACATTCATATTGTAATCAGAATTGATGTACAAGAGTGAAGTTAAACGATTGAGTGTAACCAAAACATAGTGTGAATATTGTCACTGATTATAGTATTAATGAAGAGTAATAACATCAAGACTTAATTCACGTTGATAACTTATTTAAATGAAAATACATATGCACAGATGATATATTGTAATTCTACATTTTAATACCAGATTAAATTAATTATTTTCTTGTTTAATCAATAATACGAATGTTCATTTATTACCATCTAGTACTTTTGACTTGAAATATTGAAAATAACTAGCAGACAATGTATTTGAATAGAAAAAGAATAAATGTCTTGTTAAAATAAACCATATAACACAATCAATACTATTAATGAGAATTACAATAACTTTGTAAACATCAAACTTGTAATTCTCTTTCATGCAGTAAATAATCACCACTAATATCAAATGCATTATATTTCAGTGGATATTCATTAAATTCAATTGTACAATTGCTCTTAATCATTTTATTCTTCTAAATACAACCATAACACTGTCATAAATGAAATATAAATACTAAATATACACTAATACTTTATTTGATGTTATTCCAAATCAAAACATAATAGAATTGTTTGTATGAAAGAAACAACAAGGATTAATATTGGTATTGAAGTATTATGAATGATAAAGATAAAGAAAATACAATAATCAATGAAATTCTGAAATAATTCAACAAACACACTATTTTATTGTTTATTTCGATTATTGTTGAATGAAGAATTTTTCATACATTAACACTCAATGTGAGAATTGTCAGTCACATCTTTCATGAAGTTCTTTAACTTGTTAGAAAAGAAGAGGGTTGATAAAAATACATATTCTTCAGATGGAGAATGACATTATCCAAGAATATTATCAGAAGCAGAATTACATATCTTAGGCATTATGCTCCTATCATAGAGTATAAAACACAACCAACACTGCTCTAAAAATAAAAATGAACAAAAGAATCGATTATATTTTCCACTTTAAATCTGACTGAATGTCATGTTTCATACAACAAAACGATGAACAATCCCCTTCATCGACAAACAATCAAAATACTTACTTACAACATTTATTGTCGTCCACCAGGAATTACTGCACGAGGAAATGATTATAAGAAAGAAAGACTAATGACGTTTTGTGATGAAGAACTTAACAAGTATGACATAGTGGCATTTCAAGAGTTGTTTGGTGCATTTTCATCTAAACGACGAATCTTCATAGAAAAAGCAAAACAACAAGGATTTGTGTATGAAGCTCATCTAGAAAGACCAAAATGGCCTATCTATCCAGTTGATGGTGGTGTATGTATATTATCACGTTTTCCCATTGTAAGTCAACACCAAAAGATTTATACAAGAGGATGTTATTCAGATGGAGCATCTGCAAAAGGAGTTATTCATACAAAAATTGACATTGGATTTGGAAAAGAAATTCATCTGTTTTCTACACATCTTCAAGCAGATTATTATGAAAGTAGAGAAGACAATGCCAAATCAAGACGTCATCGAAATACACAAATCAATGAATGTCTTCATTTTATTAATGAATGTACAGCACATGACAATGATCCAATCATATTTGAAGGAGATTTAAACATTAAAGGAGGAACAAAAGAATATGATGATTTTCTTACCACTCTCCATTCTAATGAATTTGATATTGAAGCACATGACTTTTTGTTTGAGGATAAGAAAGTTCATCCAATCACACACAGTGAAGTTATCGATGGAGAACAAGTTGACACAGTTATTACATCTAAAGTTCCAGCACCGATTAATGCACGACTTGATTATATTTGGGGAATTAAGAATGGAAGAGAAAGAAAAGAATTAAAAGCCATTCAAACAAATGTATGTAAATTTCAAACAACAAACAAACCATTTCCTTATATGTCTGATCATTATGGAGTAGAAGTGACACTAGAATTATTGTAATATATATTTAATTGACGTTTATCTTTTGTTTATTTTTACTAAAACTTTTATCTTTTTTATATAGATACTTGAAATTACAAATTATTTTAAAATTCATATTCATATTCATTAGTTATTTTGATAAATACAGATATTCCTAAAATGAATTATATTATGAGAATTAGATCAATAGAAAAATAAAAATTTAACACTTGTTGTTTTTTCTTTCTTATCAGTTTCATTATTGTATAAATATAAGTATTTAAAAATACTCAGTATGAAACTATTAAACTATTTGAATAACTACTTCATTGAATAATATTTTCAATTTTGTCATTTTGAAATATCAAATCAAGCATTGCACATCATTCTATTCACTAATCATCAAAACTAGATTAACTATTTCATGTTCTATCTTTTTCCATCTTTCTTTATTCTTCAAACATATATAGCTACTATATTACTCGAATAATATTCATCAATATAGCATGTGCTTATCATTAATATATATTAATTAAATTTATATTTTATTTTTACTGATATTATTTTTAAAGTTGACAAAGGAAAAATGAAAGAATAATGATAATGATTCATTTCTTTTTAATACAAGTCAATAAAGAAATATCATTCAAAATATAGAATGAAACAAAATGCAAAAAAAAACAATTAAAATTATTTTTGTGGATTGACATTTTTTGGATTATTCATTGTTTTTTAATACTTAATTCAGAACCAATACCCACCCCTTTTCTTTTGTGTTGTTGAAACATATAAGAATAATTATGTTGTTTTTATTTTATAAAAGAAATTAGATCATTTGATTACTCAATTTTCTTTTTTAATGAAATCTTTGGACAAGCCTCTATCTTGTCTATAATTCTCATTTTACCATAAACGTTCAATGTTTGTAATTTACGACATTGGATTAGTGTTAGTTCACAGAGTGGAATTGGTAAATCTAATTCAGAAATTTTTGGTCCATGGATATATAATTTTGTTAATTGAGTAAGATTCTTTGTACTAATGACATTAATGTCTACAGACTGAATTTTTAATGAATGAAGTGACTGAGGGAAATCAACTTTATTATCAGATATTCCAATGATCTCGAGATGTTTTAATTGGTTCAGACAGCAAAGTCCTTTTCCAATAAACTGGTCATTCTGAAGAATAATAATATTAGACAAATGACGTACAAATTGATTTAAAACCAAATAACGTATTTGAGCTGGGATTTTTATAGACCTATTTTCTAGATGAGCAAATAAACACAATTTAGATAAAGAAGTAAATTGAGAAAAATTAAAATGCATTTGGGTTAAATGTGAATGTTTAATATCAACTGTTAATTCTATTAAATTACAACATTCAATAAAAGGGTTGTATGTTCTTAAACTAACTATAGAAAATGAAGGAAGATTAAAGGAATATAATGATGGTAAATATAATGAAAGTAATAAGTCAATATTATCACTTGAATTATATTCATAATCATTAAATAATGTCTGATTTAATACGAATTGTTTATTATCTATTTGTTCATGATATTTTTGATAACAATTAATCAAATTAAAAGGAGTATATTCTTTATTGATGTTATTTGGAGATAACTCATTTAAATTATTTGGTTCAATGATAACACGAATATTTGTTCTTTCTCGTTGAATGAAATGACACAGATTCCAATCAAATAATTTAAGAATAACAAAGTTATTTTTAATAATATTAACACTTTCTAATTGACTACTAATAAATTCTTCTGGTTGAGTCATAACAATCTTCAATTCTCCAAATCCAACATCATCAAGATTAATACAAAGATTAGGTGTAACAACATTAAGTGGAAGATTAATTTCTAATAAATGTCTAAAAATATTAGGTGTAATAAATTCTTCAAAAGATAATGTTTCATTTTGGTCTTTTAGAATCTTTAGTTTTAAACATAACTCAAATTGATTAATATAATTATCAAATTGACTTATTGGTAATTCTAAACAATTCTTTTGTTCAATTTGAAGAATTGAAGAAGAACTTGTTATTGACTTGTAATGAAGAAAAGATTCATTTGGATGATGTTCAACAATACTAAAACATTTTTTATTGATACAGATAAACCTATTATAATACCTTTGAGGTAAATATTCAACAACGTCATACAGAGAGTGTTTGTCCAATTTCATTAATCTTCTAATTTAAATTATTTAAGTTTTAAGGGTTTTATTGAAATAACAACTTTTTATTATCATTTCGTTTTATATAACATATATGTAATAAAACAATTTTTATTTACCAATAGTTTTAATAACCTTGAAATTAAATAAAAAAAAAAAACAATATTAAGCTTCAAAAAATTAATTAGAATAATTTAGCTTTTCTTCGTTCAGCATCTTTTTTCCATCTTGGTAACATATTAAATTCACTTCTTTCCATTCTAAAAACTCCTTTAAACTCATCATCTTTCAAGTACTCTTCTAAACAAGAACGGTCTACCCAATCAGGAAGTTTGTCACTATTAAGGAGTTGAGCATAACCGAAGTACTTTCCATTATCAGTAAAGATATTTTGTTGAGTCTCTCGGTCAATAATTTTACGTTGATCCCATCCTTTGAACTGTAATCTAAAACGAACAGGCTCTTGTCCATTTTCAACTTGAATAACAGGTGTGTTGACTGACCTTCCATCATCACTATATTTATTATATGCTAATGCTGCTGAAGTAACTTTAGTTCTATCTTCTTTTGGACAGCCAGTTCCATAATAAACAAATACTTCATTAAATGTATCAAGAATAAATGCCTTTCCATGTGTCAAATCTTCTTGTTTATATGACCTTAATTCATTACATAATAATTCATTATCTTCTGAGGTATAAAATTGGAATAAACGAGCTTTGAAATCGTGTCTTCCTTTTGGATAATTAATCATCTCATTATTTTCTCTCTTCAAATCAGCCCATAATTTATCATCACTCTTTGAAGTTGTTGAATACCATCTTAATTTACCTTTTGAATAATCTTTAACATCTTTAATAGCTTCAGCAACTTGAACTGCCATATTACATTCTAATCCATATGCCATAGAAACTCTATTATTGATATTGGCATGCATTTTAACAACATCAGCACCATAAACGTCTCTTAACTTTTCATAGTCAGCACGTAATTGTTTCATTTCATTTTCAACTCCTTTAACATATCTCTGATGTTCTTTTTCCATTTCTTCTTGTCTAATCTTAAGATTGTTATTAACCATAAGTAAATTATCAATAGTTTCTTGCATAACTTCTGGTGATGGAAATACTTTATGTTTTAAAACTGATAATGTTTCAGTAAATTGCCATTTATTTCCATTATCACCAATAATCTCACCAATATATGCATCATCTGAACCAGTAATACCAATTGCTTTAACACCAACTTTAAGAACTGGCATTTTTAATTCATCAGGCCATTCTAAATTTCTTGATGGTTTAGTATGGAACAATGGTTTCTCCTTTTGTTTTCCACGATACAATTCTAAATCACCTTTTAATAATTCTATTTCTTTAATATTTTCTTTGATCTTATTTTCAAGTTCAATTTGTCTATTTCCTGCACCTTTCTGGAAATCTTCTTTTTCTTTTGTTAATGCTTCAACTTGTTTTCTTAATGCTTCATTATTTGCCTTTAATTCAATTAACTGAATACTTTGTTTTCCAGAACGAATTTCTTCTGTTTGTTGTTCATTATTTGAAATGTTTTGGTTTCCTTGTTTTGTTTCAGTTGAATCTTTATTAACTTCTTTAGTTCCAATTAACGTTGCTTGTTTTAATTTTTGTGCAGCTCGTTCAGTTCTTTCAGTTACAGAAGACCCTTCTAATGCTTTTCTTTCTTCTTCTAATCTTTTTCTACGTTCTTCTCTTTCTTTTTTTCTTTGAGCCTCTCGTTGTTCTTCTGCAATACGAAGTTCTTCTTCTCTTTTTTTTCTTCTTGCTTCTCTCTCTTCTTGGGCTTTACGTTCTTCTTCTGCTAGTCTTCGTTTTTCTTCTTCTCTTTGTCTTTGTCTTTCAAGTCTTCTTTTCTCACGAGCTTCTTCAGCTGTATCAGCACTACTACTTACTCGTTCAACTCTAGAAGTGCTTGAACCTGCTTTTTCTTTTGCTGCTGCTTCTCTTTCTTCTCTCTCTCTTCTTTCTCGTCTTTCTCTTTTCCTTCGTTCTAAATCAGTTTCTGCATCAACAGCCTTTGCTCTATTTGTAATCTCTTTTATTTCTTGATTTTTTGCTAATGTTGCATCATCAATTCCCTTTTTCTCACGGAATTTTTTCATCAAATCAGTTAAATCACTCATTTTGTGACTTTGTAACTATAATAAGTTCTTTCTTTTATTTTTTCCTTTTGTAAAAAGTTGAATGAAAGTCATCATTTTAAGATTGTTTCATATTCATTCTTTTTTGTAAACTATCAGTTATTCTTCATTCAGAACTAAAAAATGACATAACAATAAAAAATAAAAATGTATGAAAGATATATTGCTTATGGAGATCAACTTTACCTTTATGAACCAATGCTTGCTTATCATTGTTATGAGTTTGGAAGTCAATCAAACATACAAAATAATATAGTCTTATCAAAAAAGACTTTATTAAGACAAGCGTTGGGAAATACCATTGATGACCGTGAACTTCAAATTAGTTATATTAAAGAAATTATCAAAAAATATTATTTGTCGGGTCAAAATGTCTTCAAACAAAACCCAGAATCAGCAAAACAAATATTTCTTTTTGTAGTTGATATGATCGATTTGTTAAATGCTTTTATCCCTCTTCCAAATGAATTTCAACAAGTTAAAAACTTTATTGTACTTTCTCATTTTATCCCTGAAGGTGTTAGTCTTGTGAAAGATGTCTTAACTCCTCAACAACCTATTCAAAATAATTCTTCTCTTAACCAACATAATACCAATCTTTTCCCAGTTCCAAACTCTCAAGTAATTCAACAGAATTTATTTCCTACTCCTTCTCAACAGAATTTATTTCCTACTCCTTCTCAACAAACACAACAACTAAAACAAAACTTATTTCCTGTTCCAGTCGAACAACAACCAGTTAACCAAAAAAAAGAACAACCAAAACAAAATTTGTTCCCAGTTCCTTCTCAACCAAAACAGCAATTACCTCAACAAAGTATTAATTTATTCCCAACACCAAATAATTCTACTAATGAAAATACAATTCCTATTTCTTGTCAACAAACCTCATCAACAGAAGAAATAAAACAAAAGACATTTACTATTAGTACTAATTCACAACCAACACTACCAATATCAATACCACCACCAAATCAATTACAAAACCAAGTTCATACACAACCAAAGAAAAATGAAAAGATAGAATATAAACAATCTCCTCTCGTTAATACAATTCAAAGTCAAAACCCAATTCTCTTACGTAAAGTTAATATTAAAAAAAATATTAAAATTGAAAATATAGTAAACGCATGGAGTATAATTAATAAAGCCAAAGACTCAATGCAAATTGGTGCAATAGAGAAAACAAAACAAAAAATTCTAGAGGCATTACAACTGCTTGAAGAATAATTAAATAACATTTTTAAACCAATTTCAAACACAAATAGTTTAATTTGATTGTGAAATGAAATCAAAGAGAAGAAGAAAACAGAGTTACATTTCTTTTATTTAAGAAAGACAAATAGATGATAATAATACTTGTTTTTATTCAAAACCACATTCTTCTAAAGGAATTGAATGTCTTCTAAGAGTTGGTTCATATTCACTAACAACAGGTGTTTCTGTACCATCAATATTATCTAGAGTTGATATTTTTAAATTTTGATGGAAGACATTATTATAGAATGTTACTAACATTGTAACAATAACAATAGCAAATGAGTATGATAACAACCAAGCACGTCTTAATCCATTAAACCTTTTTTCTCTCTAACTAATAAATTTTTTTGAATAAAAATGTATTATCAAAACAAATACAAACTATTTCTTTGATTTTATTTGCAATCTTTGGAACAATTTCTTTTAAGTCTCCTCTAACAACAAAATCAGCATATTCATCCATTGGTGTTTTTGAGCAATTAATAAATGCAACTTGTGCCCCACAATGTTTTGCTCTAAATGGAATTATATTACATGGTGCTACTTGTAATGACGTTCCAATAACTAACAAAAAATCAGTTTTTGTTGATGCTTCAACAACTTCATCATATGTTACACGATCTAATTTTTCTCCAAAAAGAACAACATCAAGTTTTAATAATCCACCACATTTTGGACATCGTGGAATGCATTGACTTGGAGGTACTGGTTTTGACCAAATGTCATCATCAGCTCTTGAAATATAATCACAATCAATACAATAACATGCTCTCCCACTCCCATGCATTTCAACAACATTTTTTGATCCTGCTTGTTGGTGTAAACCATCAACATTTTGGGTAACTATTGTTTTAACAACTCCAATTTTTTCAAGTTCAGCAAGTGCTTCATGAACATGATTTGGGTATGCAGTAATTTTATGAATTTCTTCAGTCATTTTCCAGAATAATTCTGGATGTTTTTTAAAGTTAGAATAACTTCCATAAACAGAAGGGTCATACCTTTTCCATAAACCGTTAGATGACCTTATTTTATTAGTTTATATTAATTGATTAGAAAACCTGATAGAAAAGACAAACCGAAAATCAGGGATACCAGATTCTACCGAAATCCCAGCACCAGTTAAGACAGTCACATTTTTTGATTTCTCCATTGAACGAGCAATCATCTCAATGTCAATATCAATACTATCATCAAGGCTATTATACAACTCTAGTTCTTCTAACCAATTACTGTCTATTGACATTACTGAATTAGAGAATTTATAGATGACAGTTTCATCATTTTCCTTTTTTTTTAATTTTTAAAACTATCTTTTTTGATTAGATTAATTTTTATTTTCTTTCTGATAAATACGAGTCAATCACTCTATTATTTTTTGTTTTAAGTCTCTTACTAACCAGAAATTAAATTAATTTTTGTTATTTGTTTTAACAACACAGAAAGAAGTTTAAATAAATAGCAAGCGTCTACTTCTTATAAACAAAAATTAATTAATTAAGTGTTAAATAAAATTTTTAGTCTATTCTTACAAATTTAGTGAAAACTAATATTATCCATTCACTGTTTTTTTAAATGGGTAATTTCTTTTATTTCTTATTTCTGCTTCATTCTTCTTTTTATCTTCTTCTTTGATGTTTACTTTAATTTTAAATACTTACCTCTTCTTTCTTCTTTATTTCTTATTTTATGATGAATGAACATATCATTATCATTATATTATTTTATCTAATGTTATTTTAGTATTAACATCATTACTTATATCATTTTTATTTGTTATTATTCATTCATAATATCCTACTACAATCTTTACAATATTAATTAATACATTTCTTATTCAAATATAACATCATAATTATATAATAATTGATAATTCATTATTTGATTTTGTACTTATGTTTGTGTGTATTTCTGACTTGCAATCTTCGAGTCTATACCTCTTCTTATGAAAAATACAACAAAATTGTTTTATTAAACAAAAAAGAATTTTTGCTATGGGTATATTCTTGTTTTATTAATTTTAGGTATAACAAATGCAGAGTGAGAAAATTTATTTTAATAAGCACTTAATGACATCTTTATTAACTTACATTTACCACAAAAAATAAACTTTTACGAATTAGTTTTTATTTTAAAATTGAATATTTGTTATAAAAAAATTAAGTGTTAACTCACATATTTTTTATATTTTATTGTCTTCAACTTTATATCAAAGGAACATTATAATTGTTTGTAAAAAGACGTTAATATAAGAAATTGAGAAAAATAAAACTTCAAAAGAAATAAACGAAATTTTAAAACTTAAAGTTTCTTAAAGAAAAGAATATTCTTAGAAATAGAGAACTTAAAAAATAAAAAGAGACAAATTATGAATAGTTTTAAATGTTTTAAACGAATTAGAAAAATAATTAAAAATCATGAAAATAAAAAAAGAATAAAAAAATTATTTGATTGGTTTATCTTAAAATTTGGTATTTTTGAGATTATGTCTATTTAAGAAAAAAATTTCAGATTTTAATCATATTCTTATTTAAGTAATGAAAGCCATTTTGTTCTTAGTATTTGCTTTATTCTTAACTGTTCATGCCGAAGAAGAGTTTGAACTCGATGATGATTTTGAAATTAATAATGAAGATTTTGATTTTAATGATGATGAGTATGAATTAGAAGACGATGAAGAAGACGACGATGATGATGAATTTGAATTAGAAGACGACGAAGAAGATGATGATGAAGAAGAAGAAGATGAAGAAGAAGAAGATGAAGAAGAAGAAGATGAAGAAGAAGAAGATGAAGAAGATGAAGAAGACGATGATGAAGAAGACGATGATGAAGAAGACGATGATGAAGAAGACGATGATGAAGAAGACGATGATGAAGAAGACGATGATGAAGAAGACGATGATGAAGAAGACGATGATGAAGAAGACGATGATGATGAAGACGATGATGATGAAGACGATGATGAAGAAGATGATGATGAAGATGATGATGATGAAGATGATGAATTTGAATTAGAAGACGATGATGAAGATGATGATGAAGAAGATGATGATGAAGATGACGATGATGATGAAGAAGATGATGATGAAGAAGATGATGATGAAGAAGATGATGATGAAGAAGATGATGATGAAGAAGATGATGATGAAGATGACGATGATGATGAAGAAGATGATGATGACGATGAAGAAGACGATGAAGAAGACGATGAAGAAGACGATGAAGAAGACGATGAAGAAGACGATGAAGAAGACGATGAAGAAGACGATGATGAAGAAGACGATGATGATGAAGAAGACGATGATGAAGAAGACGATGATGAAGAAGACATGATGAAGAAGACGATGATGAAGAAGACGATGATGAAGAAGACGATGATGAAGAAGACGATGATGAAGAAGACGATGATGAAGAAGACGATGATGAAGAAGACGATGATGAAGAAGACGATGATGAAGAAGACGATGATGAAGAAGACGATGATGAAGAAGACGATGATGAAGAAGACGATGATGAAGAAGACGATGATGAAGAAGACGATGATGAAGAAGACGATGATGAAGAAGATGAAGATGATGAAGATGATGATGATGAAGAAGACGATGAAGAAGATGATGAAGACGACGATGAAGACGACGATGAAGACGACGATGAAGACGACGATGAAGAAGACGATGAAGAAGACGATGAAGAAGACGATGAAGAAGACGATGAAGAAGACGATGAAGAAGACGATGAAGAAGACGATGATGAAGAAGACGATGAAGAAGACGATGAAGAAGACGATGAAGAAGACGATGAAGAAGACGATGAAGAAGACGATGAAGAAGACGATGAAGAAGACGATGAAGAAGACGATGAAGAAGACGATGAAGAAGACGATGAAGAAGACGATGAAGAAGACGATGAAGAAGACGATGAAGAAGACGATGAAGAAGACGATGATGAATTTGAATTAGAAGACGATGATGAATTTGAATTAGAAGACGACGAAGAAGAAGATGATGAATAAATCCTTAAATAACTGAGTGCTTATATTCAAAATTTATTTGTTAACAAAAAATAAAAAAAGTATTATTTTAAATTATTAATTATCAAACCATTGAAGTAATATAAGCCTTGAAGGTTTAAATAGTACATTATTATAGTTATCATATGTTCCATCAGCAAGCATTTGATTTGACTTATAACAACACTCGAAACCTCTTCTTATAATACCACTTCGTTCATTGTTTAAAGGGAAACTAAGACCAAATGCGAATAAAACACAATAAAAATTACGCAATGAATTGT